TCTTTAGGTGTTGAGTTTGATAAGTTCTCTTTTTTTAAGATTTTATTTATTTGGGGCGTCTGGGTGGCTCAGTTGGTTGGACGACTGCCTTCGGCTCAGGTCATGATCCTGGAGTCCTGGGATCGAGTCCCACATCGGGCTCCCTGCTCGGTGGGGAGTCTGCTTCTCCCTCCGACCCTCTTCCCTCTCGTGCTCTCTCTCATTCTCTCTCTCTCTCAAATAAATAAAATCTATTTATTTGACAGAGAGAGACACAGTGAGAGAGGGAACCCAAGCAGGGGGAGTGGGAGAGGGAGAAGCAGGCTTCCTGTTGAGCAGGGGCTCGATCCCAGAACCCTGGGATCATGACCTGAGCCGAAGGCAGACACTTAACGACTGAGCCACCCAGGGGCCCAGAGTTTGATAAGTTCTTTATAAATTTTGGATACTAGCCCTTTATCTGATATGTCATTTGCAAATATCTTCTCTCATTCTGTTGGTTGTCTTTGGTTTTGTTGACTGTTTCTTTTGCTGTGCAAAAGGTTTTTATCTTGATTAAGTCACAATAGTTCATCTTTGCCTTTGTCTACCTTGCCTTTGGAGACTAGCAAGAAGTTGCTGTGGCTGAGGTCACAGAGGTTGCTGCCTGTGTTTTCCTCTAGGATTCTGATGGATTCCTGTCTCCCATTTAGGTCTTTTATCCATTTTGAGTCTATTTTTGTGTATGTCATAAGGAAATGGTCCAGTTTCCTTCTTCTGCACGTGGCTGTTCAATTTTCCCAATACCATTGGTTGAAGAGACTGTCTTTTTTCCATTGGATATTCTTTCCTGCTTTGTTAAATATTAGTGGACCATAGAGTTGAGGGTCCATTTCTGGGTTTTCAATTGGGTTCCATTGATCTATGTGTCTGTTTTTATGCCACTGTCTTGATGATTACAGCTTTGTAATAGAGCTTGAAGTCTGGAATTGTGATGCCCCCCAGCTTTGGTTTTCTTTTTCAACATTCCTTGGCTATTTGGGGTCTTTTCTGGTTCCATACAAATTTTTGGATTATTTGTTCCAGCTCTGTGAAAAAAGTTGATGGTATTTTGATAGGAATTTCATTGAATGTATAGATTGCTCTAGGTAGCAAAGACATTTTAACAATATTTGTCCTTCCATTCTATGAGCATAGAACGTTTTTCCATTTCTTTGTGTGTTCCCCCATTTCTTTCGTGAGTGTTCTATAGTTTTCTGAGTACAGATCCTTTGCCTCTTTGGTTAGGTTTATTCCTAGGTATCATGGTTTTTGGTGCAATTGTAAGTGGGTTTGACTCTTAAATTTCTCTTTCTTCTGTCTCATTGTTAGTGTATAGAATTGCAACTGATTTCTGTGCATTGATTTTATATCCTGTCACTTTGCTGATTTCCTGTATGAGTTCTAGCAACTTTGGGGTGAAGTCTTTTGGGTTTTCCACATAGAGTAAGATGCTGCTTTTAGACAGAAACCAGGACCTGGACAGTCAAAAACCAACCAACCAACCAACAATAAAACAACAGCATAGGAAGATAGAGCCATGAGGGAGCCCTGGGGAACCCAGGAATGTAGGGGAGGCAGTGGAGGTGAGGACAGGCTTTCCCAGAGCCATAAGATGTATGGGCTGGATTGAGGCTTGGAACTGCAGATCTGACCCTGAGAACTTGTTGTATTAGTGTTTCCACATCCATCCAGGTGCCCTCAGAGGGCTGCTGTACCCTCAGGCTGGGACAGAGTCTTCTCCCTCAGTCCTCCTCCTGTGGGACCAGAGGTTGTCCCATCTGGCTTCTCCCTTCCTTGGAAATGCTATGGGGAAGCTTCCTTTTCTGTTCAAGTAGGGCCCTTATCTCTACATGTTGTGGCTTCTGCAGGCAACTCCCTTCCCACTCACTGGTCTTGTCTGTATTCCCATGCCTAATAGATGAATGAAAGCATGAAGGGGGTTGTCTGGACCCCCAGCCTAGAGATCCTTCTGCCCTCTCTGCTAATGACAGGGTAGCCCCAGCGGGTGGAGTGGGGCTGCCCTGCTCCAGCCTGTCCCCCAGACAGAGCCTGGGGGTATGTAGGGAGATGGATGTGCACACAGGTCCTGAGCCTTCCCCACCTGACATACAGCCTGACTTTGATCCTTAGGGACAGTAAAGTCCCAAATCCACATTCAAAATTCCCTCAGCTAAAGTGTGGTTTTGGTGTCTCCCTTCTCTGTCTGGGTTTCTACCCTGTCCTCGATTTCACGCTGAAAATTCTGTCAGCCCTTCAGTGGTTTTCAGATTTGCCATGACTTTCCCTTTGTGTTTGTGGTTGTTTTCAGCAGGAAGGTGGGTCTGATGCCCACTGGAGAGGGTCCTCATCTCTTTTCTGTTTTATCTCATGCCCTGTGTGATCACACTCAGGCTCCCAGTTAAATTCAGTCTGCGTGGTGACACTCTAAGTTCATGGGTCCAGCTGGAACTTTTTCTAAACTACAGACCCACAGATCAAGCACCCTCTGTTGATTTTCCACTTGTGTGTCTGACATGCATCTCTAACCCAACATGTCCGAAATTGAGCTCCCAAATTTCTTTTTTAAAAATCTTTCCCTTTTCCAGCAATGGCAGCTTGGAGCTTGCAACCACTCAGGAGAAACACATTGGTGTTGCTGATTTTTCTCTTTCTCTCTCAATATGCATCTCATGCACCAACAAATACTGCCAGCCATCAGCTTCCCACCAACCCACCGTGTCCACCCAGACCTGGGCGCCCCCATTTCACTTGCAGGGCAACACAATAACCCCAGAGGAGTCTGGGCTCAGTCCAGCAAGCAGGGGCTCAGGGGAAAAGCAAATCACATCCTGTCTTTTTTCTGTTCAAGGCCTGCACTGCCCTTCACACCTGTAATACTGCGATTTATAATCCAGAAACATGTACGTTTGGTCTTCCCATCCCTGTTTCTGGCACAGAGCTCCTAAAACCTTTGGAATTTACTAAGTGATGAAAGCAACTAGGGTGTCTTTTGTTATATTAATGAGGCAACTTTTGGATAGCAGCTAAGGATGGGGGCTGGTTGCTAAGGGAAACTTTGATTGAAGGGTTGGGACTTTGACCTCCAGGGAGGGGAGAGGGGCTGGAAGTTGACTAAATCACCAATGGCCAATGATTTAAAACCGTGGATTGAGTAAAGCAGATTGTCCTTCCCAGTGTGGGTGGGCCCGGTCCAATTAGGGGCCTGCATAGAAGGAAAGAGTTGACCCTTCCATAAGTAAGTGGAACTCTTTCTGCTTCACTGCCTTCAAGCTTGGACATCATTTTTTCTGTCCCTTTGGACTTGAGCTGAAATATCGGCTCTTCCTGGATCTTAAACCAGCTGGTCTGTGGACTGGAACTCACCATCAGATGTCCTGGGTCTCCAAGTTGCCAACTGCACATTTTGGGACTTCGGAACCTCCATAATCACAGGAACCAAATCCTTACAATAGATCTCTTTATATATGCATAGAGTGTGATCCTATGGGTTCTGTTTGGAGAACCCTGGCTAATACACCCAGAGTACAAGTCAAGTTCTTAACAGCAGCCTCCAGAGCTCTTCAGAAGCTGACCTAGGGTACCTCCCAGACCTCCTCTTCTTCTACGTTCCCCATGGCTCACTCTGCTACGCTGTCACCCAGCTGTCTGCCAACGCACCTATTCCCGCTTAGGACCTCTGAGTGCACTAGTCCTTCACAATGGGTTCCTTTTGTGTGGGTACCCACGGGATCTCTCACTTTGTCCATGTCTTCACTCAGATATCAACTTCTCCATGAGGCTTGCCGCAGGCACAGATTTTTTTTTTTTTTTTAATTTCAGCAGTCTTCAAAAATTCTTCTTATGTTTTCCTGTTTTGGGTTTTTTTTCCCTAACATATATCACTCTCTAAGGGATAGCACATTTTAATTTTTTTATTAACTGTTTGTCTTCTAACTAGAGTTTCTAACTCATCTTTTCCATCCTCAGCTCTGAGGAGCTGACCCTTTGCTGTATGTATCTCCAGCCCTAAAACAGGGCCTGGCACATGGGAGGTGTTCAGGAAGCATCGTTTGGATGAAAAAATGCTCAGTGCCAGGCACAGTCCTAAGCATCTGACACACATGAACTCATTTAATGTCACATAACATTTGTAGTGGTGTCCCCATTTTGTAGATGAGCAAACTGAGGTACAGAGAAGGTTAACTAATTTTAGCAAAGTTGAGCAGGTGGTAGCTGAGGTGGTAAGTAGGTAGGTGTCTGGGTTCCAACCCAGTCACTCCATGCCCTCAACTTCCACATTCCAAATGCCCAGCTCTCAGGTCAGTTCTGCATCAACCCCAAGACCAGAGTCTGAGGTGGCCTGGGATGAGGACTGTGGCGGGACTGGGGACCCAAACCCAAGGGGTCAGGAGGCCCCAGGGTCACTGATGGGAGCCACATCTTGTGACTACTGTGGACCACGTCATGTCTACTTGACGTATTTGTCCCTGATAACTTCTCTCCTGACAGAGGGGCAGACCCTGCCACCTGGCCCCTCAGCCTGGGAGCCTCTCTTTAGAGCTCGACCATGTGCTAACGCATTTGCTCAGGATCTTTTCTAGCACCCAGAGGCGCTATTCTCAGGAAACTGGCAAGGTGGTGTTCTCTTCCCTGTGCAAACCTGGTGCATGAGGAGGGACGCCCGGGTGGCTCAGTCAGTGAAGTGTCTGATCTCGGGGTCCTGGGATGGAGCCCCGTGTGGAGACCCATGTCGGGCTCCATACTCACCAGGGAGTCTGCTTCTCCTTCTCCCTCTGCCCCTCCCCCTGCTCATGCTGTCTCTCTCAAAAAAACAAAAACAAAAACAAAAAACAAAAAACACATGTTGCCCTAGGAAAGGGCCATAGTTCTGGGGCCTTATCCCCCTAGACAAGCCTCTCACCATCCGCAAATGGCAGGGAGGCAGGACGGGCTGATTTCTCAGCCCTACTTCACCTCCCATGGCCCATGCTGACTAAGTTCCCCTTCTGTGGTGACCACAGCTCTGTCACACACGGCTTCCTGTTGGGGCTTCCTTGGCCTCAACCTTCACTCGGGCCATTTCCTTCCCTGACAGAGGAACCCGAACCCGGGCTCCTGCCCTGGCCGGTGCAGACATGGTGCCCCTGCTGCTGCTGCCCCTGCTGTGGGGGGGTAAGTGGGCCAACGGAGGGGGGCTGGCTGGGCACAGCTGGGAGTGGGCTGGAGCTGGAGCTGAGCCTCTGTGTCCCCCCAGGGTCCCCGCAGGAGGATCCACGGTTCGAGCTCCGAGTGCCGGAATCGGTGACGGTGCAGGAGGGTCTGTGTGTCCACGTGCCCTGCTCCTTCTCCTACCCCTGGAGCTCGTGGTCTTCCCCTAAGAAGCTCTACATATACTGGTTCCGGAAAGGGGACAACGATTATCTTGTGGCTACAAATGACCAAACGAAAACGGGGAAGATGGGGACCCAGGGCCGATTCTACCTCGTCGGGAACCCCAGGCACAACAACTGCTCCCTGAGAATCAGAGAGGCCAGGAAGAGTGACGAGGGAGTCTACAATGTCCGAGTGGAGGCAGACCACATAGCATACAGTTACAGAGCTAAGAAGCTGACCGTGAAGGTGGCAGGTCCGGCAGGGGCCCCGGAAGAGGGCTCTGGGACATGGAGACCCCCCTCATAGAACAGGAACAGGACCCTGGAACACTCCTTGCTCCAGGTCTTGGGGCTGGGATGGTGGGAAGACGGATGGGGGCCCGGGGTCAGCTTGTGCCCTGAGGCCCTGGTCCCTCCCAGGGTCACACTCTGGGTCCCCACCTGCCTGGGGCCCAAGCACCTCCCTCTCTCCTCCTCAGCCCTGACACAGAAACCCGACATCCACTTTCCGGAGCCCCTGAAGTCTGGCTATCCCACAAACCTGACCTGCAGTATGCTGGGATCCTGCGAGGAGGGAAGACCTCTCACCTTCTCCTGGGTGGGGCGGGCTCTTGACTCTCTGGACCCCCAGACCCTCCACTCCTCAGTGCTGACCCTCACCCCGAGGCTGCAGGACCATGGCAGCAACCTCACCTGTCAGGTGCACCTGCCAGGAGGTCAGGACACCGTGGAAAGAACCATCAGGCTCAATGTCTCCTGTGAGTGCTGGAGGGATGGCTGGGTCCCCCAGGGCGTGGGGAGGGGGGAAGGCATCAGTTCTGGGATACTTCTCCTGGGGGGAGGTTGGGGGAAGTCACAAAGCCCATCCCTTCCAGTTATGGGGCTCCTGGAACAAAGGGCAAAAGCCCACCCTGCCCCTCACCATATCTTTCCTCTTCAGACGCTCCACAGTTGATGACCACCCGCATTTTGCAGGGAAACTACACAGGTAGGGAAGATCCTCTCTTCCCTGGGGCTGTGATGGGAATGGGGTGTGCCTGCTCAGGGCTCAGGGCTTGGAGATGAGACTCTCCCTCACTCCTCATTCCCCTGGGTCTGTGTCTGCCCCCCACCCACCTCACTATTATCTCCTGTTGTGGACCCAGGATTGCTTTCAGCTGCTGCCTCTACTTTTCTTTAGTTTGTGTGTATTATGTATGTTTTAATTTTTTTAAGATTTTATTTATTTATTTGAGAGAGAGAATGAGAGAGAGTGCGAGAGGGAAGAGGGTCAGAGGGAGAAGCAGACTCCCTGCTGAGCAGGGACCCCCCCCCGATGCGGGACTCGATCCCGGGACTCCAGGATCATGACCTGAGCCGAAGGCAGTCACCCAACCTACTGAGCCACCCAGGCGCCCCTATGTTTTATTTTTTTTAAGATTTTATTTATTTATTTGACAGAGAGAAACACAGTGAGAGAGGAAACACAAGCAGGGGGAGTGGGAGAGGGAGAAGCAGACTCCCCTCGGAGCATGGAGCCAGTGTGGGGCTCCATCCCAGGACCCTGGGATCATGACCTGAGCCGAAGGCAGACGCTTAACGACTGAGCCACCCAGGAGCCCCTATGTATGTTTTATTTTAATTGAGTTCTAATTGACACATAAGAGTAAGTTTCAGGTGGACAACATAATGATTTGGTGTTTGTGTGTATTGCAAAATGATCACCACAGTAAGTCTACCTAACATCCCTCATCACACATAGTTACAAATTTTTCTTCCTTGTGATGAGAACATCTGAGATCTACTCTTTTAGGGACTTTCAAATATACAACATAGCGCTATTAACTATAGTCCCCGAACTGTGCATCACCTCCCGTGACTTATTTATTTTATAACTGTAAGTTTGTGCCTTTTGACCTCCTTCCTTTTTTCATTAGCTTTAGAGTTTATGGTTGTTTCCTTTTTTTAAATGATTTGTTTATTCACATTAGAGAGATGGGGGAGAGGGGCAGAAGGAGAGGGAGAGACTTTTTAAAAATATTTTATTTATTTATTTTTGAGAGACAGAGCATATGAGTAGGGGGAGGGGTAGAGGGAGAAGACTGCCTGCTGAGCAGGGAGCCTGATGCAAGATTCGATCCCAGGACCCTGGGATCACGACCTGAGCTGAAGGCAGACGCTTAACCGACTGAGCCACCCAGGCGTTTATGTGTAATTGTAGTAAAACAGACACAATGTAAAACTTACTGTCTTCACCATGTTTAAGGCTAGAGCTCAGTGGTGTTGAAGGCTTTCACGGTGTTGCAACCGGTCTGCAGAGCTCTCTCCATCTTGCAGAACCGAAACTCTATGCCCATCAGGCACTGACTCCCCAGCCCCTCCCCCAGCCCCTGGCAACCACCCTTCCAACCTCTGTCTCTGTGATTTTGACTGCTCCAGGCTCGGCTCCCTACGCTGGAATTTCTGTCTGCACTCCTTCATCGCTGATCTAGTCATTTTCGGTAGGACCCTCCGATGTTCCCAGTCCCCGCAGCTCCGCCCTGGACCGCTGCTGTTCTCTGTGTCCACTTTCCTGGGCATCCTCATTCTATCCCATGTCCCCACTTGTGACCCCATCCCTATTCTGACCCTATCCTGGTGCCTCCCACGACTTTCTAGCTGGCCACAGATCAGACATGCAGCCGCCTCTTGCTGATGCCTCTCTGCGTCCGCTACTTAGCCCCGGGGTGGGGGTAGGGGCTCTGGACACCACGCTAGATAACTCCCCTTCTCACCAGCTGCACCCCATGAGTCAGCGAGTCTCGAGAACTTCATTTCTCAAATCATTTCCCTCTTCTTGCCTTTGGCCCCAGACCAGCTCCAATCTTATCCTGGACCCTGGACTATTGCCTCAGCATCCTCCTCAGCCTCCCTGCCTCCTGTTTAATCTCTCTGGTGCAGGCCCCACTTGGCCCCAGCAGGGTCTTTCTAGACCCAGCACTGATTTGCATTTCCCCTACTCATAGCCCCTACTGCTTCCCAGTAACCTCAGGGCAAAGCCCAATGCCCTCAGCCCGGCACTCAGAGCTCCAAAATTTCTGACTCTGCCTTCTCTCCCACCGTGATCATGTCTTTGGTGCTCCGGGTCCTCCCTGCCAAGTTACAGGTGCAAGTGCGCTTCCCCTCGTCTGCCAGGCGGTCTCAAATTCTTGGCGCATCTCCGCCAGAGCTGCCCGCCCACCCCTCGCCCTGCCCACCTCAGCAGAGCCCCCTTCTTTCTGGTGGCCCAACTTGACCACCAGAGTCATTGCCCCTTCAGCCACGATTAGCCTACCCCTTAGCCCTTGTCACATGGCCCTGTCTTCCCATTTCTGGCTCTATGGGAAGACGGAGGGAGAGCTGGATCTCTCGGCTCCACCCACTTTGTAGTGAATCTCTTACCCAGTCCTGAAGACGCTGAGCAACCACACGTCGCTGCCTGTCTTGGAGGGCCAGTTCCTGCGCCTGGTCTGCGTCGCTGAGAGCAACCCGCCCGCCATGCTGAGCTGGTCCCGGGAGGGAAAAGCCCTGAGCTCCCCCCAGCCCTCAGCACCTGGGGTCCTGGAGTTGCCCCATGTAGGGGTTGAGGATGAAGGGGAGTTCACCTGCCAGGCTCAGCACCCACTGGGCTCCCAGCACGTTTCCTTCAGCCTCTCTGTGCAGAGTGAGTTGTAATACAGTTTCGGGGGTGGTCAGTCTGGTCAGGTGTTTGGGATATAGAAGGGACTGGGGCCTGGGGACAGAACTTCATCCTCTGGACCCCCTTCCGCAGGAACCCCCTCTTCCTGCAACTGTGTGACTGAGAAGCAGGAGGGCTCCTGGCCGCTGGTCCTCACCCTGATCAGAGGGGCCCTCATGGGGGCTGGCTTCCTCCTCACCTATGGCCTCACCTGGATCTACTACAGCAGGTGAGCGGGCCTGTCCCTCTCCAGGGAAGTCTGCTGATTGGCTCCTGAGCTCCAGGTGGTGCTGAGCTGTCCCACCCTGCCTGGAGTTAGAACGAAAGTGGTAGCTCTCTGATCTGAGACCCGTGTTGGTTCTGCAGGTGTGGAGGCCTCCAGGGAGCGGGGCTGAGAGGCCTGATCCAGCCTCCCTCCTTCTCAAGACAGGACTGAGGTGTGGACCTGGAGCCCAGGGGGACAGATATGGGCTGTCATGGTCAGCCTCTTCCTGGAACCTCTCAACTCAAACCTTCTCAGTTGTACCCCTGGGAGTTTAATTTGGGGAGGTGAATGAGTGATGACATGGAGAGGCCAGCACCATCAGAAGAAGTTATTACTTTCCCAAGGAAATGTGGCATGCCACGCTATGCAGGGCCACAGGGGAGGAAGCACTATGTCTTGGTTGGGAGGCAGAAGCAGGTGCAGGAAAAAGAAGGCTTGAAAAAGCCTTTCCTGGGTTTTGTGTAGGAAAGGTAAGGAGTATAGCTCAGGATCAGCTAGTTTGAGTCATTCTGGGGGGCTTTGGCCTATAGGGGTGGGTCTAGTTGTCTTGTACCTGTCCTTGGTGATTTAGGGCAGGGTGTGTGAGTTAGAGAAAAATGGTGTTTGGGGGCCCCTGGGTGGCTCAGTTGGTTAAGCGTCTGCCTTCGGCTCAGGTGATGATCCCAGAGTCCCTGGATCCAGCCCCTCATGGGGCTCCCTGCTCAGCGGGAAGCCTGCTTCTATCCTCTGCCTGCCACTCCCCCTGCTTGTGCTCTCTCTCTCTCAAATAAATAAATAGGGTGTTTGGGGGACACGGGCTGGGGATTGGTTGGTTTGATCTGAAAGGTGGGCTCCTGGCAGAGCACTTTGCCCTCTTTAAGAACTGGCTGGCCCTGGGAGGTGCGGTCTCTCCCCAGAAGGCAAGCTTTTTAAGGTAAAGGAAATAAAAAACTGACTAATACACACCTCCACTGATCCGCTCAGCCTGCCTCTCCTTGCTGGCACTGCCCACCACAACCCTCCCAACCTCCTCCTCTCTAGCCGCAGCCCTGCCCCTGCAAAGGGAGTTCCCCTGGCTTACTTCCCAGGACCCAGCAGTTAGCTGCTTAACTCCTGAGTTTCTGGTCTCCCAAAGTTCCTTCTCAGTGTGGACAGCAGTACACAGTAGAGTCAAGAATACAGCTTTTCTTTCCCAGATGAAAGACACCTACCTCATAATAATTGCTACAGAACATCACATTTAATTATAAATAAAAGTCTTATTAAAAATGTAACATTAAAATTGATTTTACTGTTTAATGTCTCTGTGGAAGTTTCTAGAGCAAATTTATGTCTTAATCGTCTATCCTTTTTTGTTGAGCATGTTCCAAAGAAGACTTTTTTTTTTAAGATTTTATTTATTTATTTGACAGAGAGAGACACAGCGAGAGAGGGAACACAAGCAGGGGGAGTGGGAGAGGGAGAAGCAGGCTTCTGCTGAGCAGGGAGCCCAACACGGGGCTCGATCCCAGGACCCTGGGATCATGACCTGAGCCGAAGGCCGACGGTTAACGACTGAGCCACCCAGGCGCCCCATGTGCAAAAGCTTTTTATCTTGATGAAGTCCCAATAGTTCATTTTTGCCTTTGTTTCCTTCGCCTTTAGAGATAGACAATCTCCCATCACCTTTAGGAACTCTCCCACATATTGTGTTGGGTTGGCAGCTTCGTGTTCTCTACAATTATTCAGTGTGGGAGATCCAGTCACCTTCTGTGGTTGTTAAATCTGAGCAGGATGCAGGATTTGCTATACTGGTTTGTACCATAAAACTGAAATCTGCTGCTGTGATCTTAGGAGACAGCCAGGTGCAGGGCACTTGGGTAACTCAGGTCAGTGAAACTTCTGACTTCAGCTCAGGTCATTATCTCAGGGGCCTGGGATGGAGCCCCATGTTGAGTTCTGTGTCAGGCTCCACACTTAGCGGGGAGTCTGCTTGTCCCTCTCCCTCTGCCCCTCCCCCTGCAATGCTCTCTCTCTCTCTCTCTCAAATAAATAAAATAAAATCTTTTTTAAAAAAGAAATGTTTATTTTGGTAAAGTCAACATAACACAAAATACCATCTTGGCTATTTTGACCCATTTTAAAGTATACACTTCAATGGTATTAAGTACATTCACCCTGTTGGGCAACCATCACTGTCATCTATTTCCAGAACTTTTTCATCTTCCCAAACTGAAACTCTGTACTCAATAAACAATAACTCTGCATTTCTCTTCCTCCCAGCTCCTTGCAACCACCATTCTACTTTGTATTCCTATGACTTTGCACCACGTACCTCATCTAAGTAGAACCGCACAACATTTGTCACTTTGTGTCTGGCTTATTTCCCTTAGCATACTATCCTCAAGGTTCACCCATGTTGTAACCGGTGTTAGAATTCCTTTCTTTTCATGACTGAATAATATTCCATTGTGTGTATATACCACATTGTGATTATCCATTTATCCACTGATGGACACTTGGGTTGCTTCCAGCTTTTGTCTGTTGAGAATGAAGTTGCTGTGAACATGGGTGCACAAAGATCTGTTTCAGTCCCTGACTCCTATTTTCTTGGGTATCTACCTAGAAGTGGAATGGCTGGAAGTATCGGGATTAGAACTTTCAAATGTGAACGTGGGGGTGGGGATGTGAATTCATTTGGGTATTCTGGAGAACTCTTTAGTGCTATCCTCTGTAGCTGATTAAATGCCTACTTGATGATGGAGCAATTCCACTTCCACCATGAAAAAAAAGTGTTAGTCCTCCTTTTTTTCATTGAAAAATCCATATCAAAATTATAAATAAAAGCCAAAAACCAGAAACAAATGCAGTCACTGTATTTTATTTATTTATTTTTTTAGATGTTATTTATTTATTTGACAGAGAAAGAGCACAAGCAGAGGGAGAGGGAGAAGTAGGCTCCCCGCTGAGCAAGGAGTCCGATGCAGGACTCGATTCCAGGGCCCTGAGATCATGACCTGGGCTGAAGGCAGCTGCTTAACTGACTGAGCTGCTCAGGCATCCCGCAGTCATTGTATTTTAGAATAAACAACTTGAATGATATTCACACATGGAATACTAATTAAAAGCAAAAACAAGACATACAAATGGACAACAGACACATGAAAAAAATGCTCCACATCACTCGGCATCAGGGAAATACAAAGCAAAACCACAATGACATACCACCTCACACCAGTCAGAATGGCTAAAATTAACCACTCAGGAAACAACAGATGTTGTCGAGGATGCAGAGAAAGGGGAACCCTCCTACACTGTTGGTGAGAATGCAAGCTGGTGCAGCCACTCTGGAAAACAATATGGAGGTTCCTCAAAAGGTTGAAAATTTCAAGCTACCCTACGTACCCAGCAATTGCACTACTGGGTATTTACCCCAAAGATAGAAATGTGGTGATCTGAAGGGGCACTTGCACCCCAATGTTTATAGCAGCAATGTCCACAACAGCCAAACTATGGAAAGAGCCCAGATGTCCATCGACAGATGAATGGATAAAGAAGATGTGATATCTATATACAATGGAGTATTATTTAGTCATCAAAAAAATATGAAATCTTGCCATTTGCAACGATGTGGATGGAACTAGTGGGTATTATGCTAAGCAAGATAAATCAATCAGAGAAAGAATTATCATACGATCTCAATGATATGTGGCATTTTAGAAACCAAACAGAGGATCATAGGGGAAGGGAGGAAAAAATAAAAGAAGAAGAAATCAGAGAGGGAGACAAACCATAAGAGACTCTTAATCATGGGAAGCAAACTGAGGGCTGCTGGAGGGGAGGTGGGTGAGGGGGTGGGGTAACTGGGTGATGGACATTAAGGAGGGCATGATATGTAATGAGCACTGGGTATTATATAAGACTGTTGGAACACTGACCTCTACCTCTGAAACCAATAATACATTATATGTTAATTAAATGAATTTAAATTCAAAAATATATATTTAGAAATTTTTTAAAAAGGTGATAGGTGATTGTCATGTGCAAGCTGATGTCCTTTCCCCCAGCAGGAGAGCAAAGCCTTCTTCCCTGCATCCCCAGCACCAAAGGCAAGTATAATTTGTGTAAGAGATATATTCCAAGACTTCCCCTGTGGATGCCAGAAGCCAAGGATAGTACCAAACACTATATATACTATGTTTTTTCTATATCTACAGACCTATGATAAAGTTAAATTTATTTAACAACCATAACTAATAACAAAGCATAGCAATTATAACAATAGACTGTCATAAAATTTATGGGAATGTGATCTCTCTGTCTCTCCCTTAAAATATCTTATTGTGCTGTCCTCACCCTTCTTTTTGTGATGATGTGGATGATGCCCATGTGATGAGATGAAGTGACGGGAATGACGTTGGCTTGTGACGTAGTGCTAGGCTCCTTCCTATTGGCCTTCTGATGGGGTCAGCAGAAGGAAAAGCATCTGCTTCCAGACCACAGTTGACCACAGGGGAACTGAAACCACAGCAGGTCAAACTGTGGATCAAGCGGGTATAGTATAGCTGTTCTGCTGAGCAATTTTGCAAAGTGATTGTGCTCATTTGCATTCTCACCGGCAGGGTCTGAGGAGTTCTGGCTCTCCACATTCTCTCCAACACTGAATAAAATTAGTCTTTCAATTTTAGCCACCCTGACGTATGTAGGTGCATTGTTGTTGTTGTTTTTTTTTTAATGGGTCTTAATGAGAATGATGACCTATGTCTCAGGATTTTATTTTTTATCTTCTCTCTTTGGGGGAGCCACCTCTTGTGTGCTTTTGGCTTATTTTCAAGTTTATTTCATGCATTGTGTAGCTTGTATTTGACTTCATTTTGAGTTAGTCTTCCTGTTGGGATCAATCACCAATGATCAATGAGTTAATCAACCATGCCTATATAATGAAACTTCCATAAAAATCCAAGAGGACTGAGTTCAGAGAGGTGCCAGGTTGGTGAACCCATGCA